GGGGGGGGGGGGGGGGGGGACTTTGTGCGAGAATGCAAACGCTCGATCGAGCGGTTGCTTGACCGCAAGACAGTTCGCCGTCCTACTCTTCGACTTGGCAAATTACGCGGCCAAGGAGCGGGAAAGAGCGAGGCCGTTGAACCGCGGGAAGATTACTGTCGAAAGTGTATTTTCCTGACGCGTCGGGGTTGACCGCCCCTTCGCGTCTCGGGCTAATTAATATCTAACGAGGCGACGCGCAGATACTTTCAGTTCTCGCGAGACCAACCTCTCCGTCTGCTCTAACAGATGTTACGATCATTCACGAGAGACTGGCTGGCAAGTGGAATTAAGATTGTAATGACATAATCACGAGATTTATGCCGCAGTTCTATAAAGCAAATTTATGAATAAATCGTAAAATCGTAGCTTACGAAGCAATCGTAAGAATCTGGCATACAGTTTTACGTAAACTGCAATTCTGTGAACTCCATCAACACGTTGAATACCGCGTTGATTTCCATTGATCGCACGAACGTCCGAGGATCACGTTACTAAAAGCACGGTAAATGTAATTCAAAGTACATGTATCTCTTACTTCGTATCTCTTTCATCGGCTATTTATTGGCTGCACGGCCTATTTTATTAATGCAATCAATCATATTTTATGCGCACCTTAACAAGACGTTATATCACCGATCACCGTTGACCTCCACGGCATTCAACGTGTTAATGCTGTCACATTCTCCAGAGAATTCCCAATCAATGACAATTTCCAATTAGGAGCATTATTTGCGCATCGTGACTGTTGATAATTTGATAAATCGATAATGATTCTCTGAAGCAGCAGTCATGATACGTGAATATTCAAGAATAACGCGCCTAATCGGAAATTTTCAATGTTATCATGCAGAAACATTGAAATAAGACAGCATTAATGGAATACCTGCATCTGTATCGCTTATTGTTACCTATCCATGCTTACAATGAGTAAATAATTTCAGGTATATGTAACCTGTCATTTAAGAGTTGCACGTGATTGCGCGTAAAGAAAGATCTACTTACATACAGGTTTAGGTGTTCCGATTATTTTCAACACGAAGTATGTACTAATTATTAGGTTTCGTGTGTGTAATTTAAAATATTTTTATCCATAATTTTTGACAGTTATACTAGGAGATTTCCATAATACTTACATAACTTGTAGATAGCTTCTTGCTAGCCGTAAGTTTTACGAGAATTCGTAAATATATACGACGATCGTATGTTTTTACGATACGACGCACAGAATTGCAGTTTCAATCACAAATTCTTACGGGTCTTACGATTTTATCTAGAATTGCAGCATACATTCGACTAAATAAATATAATTACAAATATAATAGATTTAATTATATTAAATAGGTATGCAATACTTGTTTAATTTCATTGAATTGAACAAGTCTCTTCGTCTCATCTAATTAGACCGATTAATCAGACCGATGTATCTTTGAAAATGGAAGATCGCGTCGCGAGAATAATGTTGCCGTTTTCGGGAAGGTATTGACAAGTGAGAGGATGCTATGCCGAGGAATTTCTATGCCAACGTACCGCGTAAGAGTTCAACACCCACCGTCGCACTTTGTATAAAAATGCACGACAGAGAGAAGTCATCGATCTGCCAGCTTATAAATATGAACGAACCGGCCTCCGCGAGAGAAGAAGCATCCCCGGCCTGCCCACGGGAGAGAGAGATCCTTGCGAAATAATATCGTGGATACCGATAACCCACTCTGACACACTGACGCTTTATCGACATGTGGAGTTTCGACGAGTCCACGCGTATCCTCCCGCGATAATTTACGCATCGTGTCGCCCGTCGATTACTGGCGGACCGGACGCGCGACGAGCGCCTCGAATCGTTACGACACTGTTACAACAGACGAGAAAGATTGATGTGTATACTTGAATATCTCGCGATTCATCTTTCAAGGCTGATTAACGCCATTTAAAATCTTGTACTCCTCGCGTGTATTCAATATAAATAAATGATCGAGAATCGGTAACATTCGTTCGAATTCGAGAGATTTTCAATTTCATATTGCTAATGCTATATTTAATATGCTTAAGTATCTTTTTTTAATTGTCTTAAGGATACTTGGTTTTTTTATTGTACAGGGTGAGACAACGACTATTATCACCTCGAATAGTTTGGAAATATAGAGAGAGTAGGAGACAAATGTTTCTACGCTGAAAAGTGCCATATTTAAGTAAATATTTCCTAAGGGATATTGGAGTAATTATTTTACTTGGATTAAATAAATATTACTTAAATATAGCATATTGAAAGGAAAAAGTGTTACACATTCGAGTGATATTTACTTAATCCAAATAAAATTATTACTACAATACGCTTTAGCAAATATTCGCTTGAATGTGACATTTTTGTTTCTTTCAGTATAACAGAAATCGCATTGATACTAACGACCATCATCTCGAACGCTTTCAGAAAGTGTCAACTTTTTTTCATCTTTTCATTTGGTCATTAATAAAATATTTTTATCCTGCGAAATAAAATATTCAAAACTTCAAGTTGGTAATAATTATTGCCTGTAGGTCTACAGACGAGAGCAAGTGACATGGGGTAAATTGAAGGGTAAAAGAATATTCATGGAGGAACGAAGGATTATTAACGATTCGCTAATGTCGTTTTGTCGCGAGTTCGCCGAGGGAAAGTGGTCATGGCAAAAAGCACCCGACGTAATTAATAAGTGAGATCGGTCGCTGGGCAGTAGCACGGTGGTTTGTAATGCAAAGTGCGACGCTACGGGGTACGATCAAAGAAAAATCGGCCCGATAACCGCAAGAATATCAATGAACTCGTCGCACTCCACGGTTACAAATCGCGCATTATGACACAAGCGAACGTAATTCGCTCGGATTGCGCGACTCGATTCACTTTATTTCACGGGCCGGCCGCACAAACTAACGAACGTGTCGTTAGTTATAATTAATCAAAGCAATATACGGACCTCTATTATTAATACTGAATAATCCTCCCCGTATATTCATTATTACAATAACACAATTTAAACCGCCGCTCTAATTTCCTCTTACCCCGCAACGAAATAATTTATCACGCGGTAATTGCTCTCAAAATTGTCGTGTCGTCGTATCGCCGAGCGAGACGCGTCGCAAATCACGCAGCGGGAACTTTCGACGCGAAAATTCTGAGCAGAAGAGCTCGTCATCGGCTCGGTGAGCTTCCGACTCGCTCGAGAAATTGTCCACTCTCATCGAATTTCTTCTCGTACGCGCGAAGATGGCACATGTGGAACGCGCTCACGAGGCACGTACCTCGGACACGTCGTTAATTGCGCAAAGCGTTAGAAAGCGTCAAGTCGGCGGCGAGTCAATGGAGAGTCCCGATGCAATCGAGCATATGTATGTCGCGTCTCTCTCTCTCTCTCTCACTCTCTCGGCAGGTAGGCGGCAAGCGCGCGTATCAATGCGCCGATAATAATGAACGCGTGCGCCTGTGCGTGTCCTCCTTCTTCCTCCGTAAAATCGCGCATAATAGAGGGGAAGATGTCATTACACAGAAAGAAAATCGCTATCAATTCAAGGCTCACCTTCTCCTCTACCGTTCGCCGCGGGCGTGGGAGCCGATTCGGCGTCTCCGTGCTAACGGAATTTGCATCCGCCCTATGATGAGTGGCAGTGCGTCGGTGAAAATCGCCGGCCGCGGAATGCAGATATCCTTGTAACAGAGACGGAAACATCGCTGCTCGCGTGACTCTCGCGAGACTAAAACGTGTCCGAGATGGTTGCCTTGTCGTTTGAAAAACGCGACGACGAACGAGCGAGTAAACGATTTCGCCACATTTCCCGCGGTATCATTGACGCATTAAACCGCCTATGCTTGCGATTTCGCACGTGGCCCGCTGGAATGCCGAGCGACCCGTAGAATCGAGCAGATCGTTGGTTCCTTCGGTAGGCAGGTCTATTGTGGAACAACGGTGTTCCTTTCACCGACGACGTTCAATCGAACGACGACAACGGCGGCGACGAGGTGGTGGCGAAGGAGGAGGAGGGCACTTAGGGCGTGATCGCTAAGAAACGGTTCTTCACGAGAGAGCCTTGCGATATACTTTTATCGTGACGCAATCCACCTGCTATGCGCGAGCCCGCTCGTGCCTGCACGCTCTCGCTGCCCGCGATCGTGCGCGTGATCGGCTGAATGTTCGTACTCACCGAAAATCTGGTCGTACTTGTCCAAGACGATCTCACCCAGGTAGCATACGCAGGCCCGCTGGAACAGCACGCCGATCTCGTCGATGGTCTTGAAGTCCGTCAAGTAGATACTGGAAGAAAAAGGAAAGAAAACCATCATCATGATGACTGATCGACTCACGTTGTCGGTTTATCATTGTCGATGGACGCGAGCAGATTCCGAGCAGTCTGCTGGAAATTTTTGACGACGGAAAGACAAGAAATCCGACACAGTATCTGTTCTGTCTGACGATGTTGTCGCCGGAAATCTAACAGAGCCTGCTTGCATGCTACGCGAGCAATTGGGTGGCAGGATTTGATTTGTTGCTGCCGTCAGATCATGTCAGCAGGTTCTGTCGGCAGAACACGAGTGTAATGCAAGCGCAGATGTCTGTGGATCTATCGACAGATTCTGATCGAATTTATCGTTGATCTATCTGTTAACGAATCGTTTAGCGGGATTCGTCGAAACTCACCACTTCCACCATCTCTTGTTCACTCTGAAGTGATCGTAAGGTCGGACGGCTTTGAGAGCGCTGTTTCTACCGAGGATGAGAATGGGTGGTTCACACGTCAAGTCGCCAGCCTCGGCTTCCGCGTAAACGATGCTTGCTTGAATATACAGCTTGAAGTTAACGTAAACGAGGAACAATCTGCACAACAGCAACACAAAATAATTGGTTATTAAATGATAAGTGTATTTTCCTTTCGCAACAACGACATGATTCTGCAGAAGACTGTTCATTTAGGGGGAAAAAGCACTCTTCTCACCTGTGATAGAGCTTTTCATTTCTGGTGATCATCCTCAAGCATCCGCCACCTTCGTAGGAGAAATCGTTGCAATACTCGAAGGTGTTTCCTTGAAGAACTATTGATTTATCCGTCAAGTTCTCACAATCTTCTATAATGTGCCACCCTTTGAGGTACAACTTTTCTATTCGCGTCATTGGCGTTATAATATTATCTACTTCATCGATTTCATCATCTTTATCAGTGCTTTTATCATTTGCGTTTTCATCATTTCCATCAATGCTTTCATTATCATCATTGGCTTGGATATTCTTATAGATCGCTGTCTTTTGGGCAATAAGCTTTATATACGTTTCACTCGTCAGATTCAAAATTCGCACGGGCACCGACAGCTGCGGCTGTTGCCGATGAAGCTCATAAAATCCTTCCTCTTTGCTTAACCTTTTTGATAAAGGGTTCTCCTACATCCGAACAGACGCGAAATCGCGTTTCGCAAGTTTTAGATCGTGTTTTCGATTAACAATTCGCAAGTTAAATGTTTGATCGATTGTTCCCTCTTACCTGACCGTTGTAATAATAATTCCTACCGGCGCCGCGGCAGAAGGTGGACCGAAATACTTCATCCTCATAAATCGGCACATGTATGTGCAGGTGTCGGAACAACAATGACCAGAATATATCGTCTATTATGTTAAAATACTGCGGCCCGAAGTATTCGTGCGTCCAGCCCGGTGCGAAGATAGCAACGGAAAAGTTATACTTCCGTATTAGATCCATCGACTGTGAATAAATCGATTTTTCTTACTATATCGTATCGCCTGTCCGAAATATGTTTACATCAATGATTACGGTGAATAATAATAATAGTTACATTTGAGCAGTTGAACTCGCCTACGTCTGGAGTGCCTCTCCCAAACACGTCCAATCCTACGTAAACATCCCTGACGTCGCGACCCAATTCCTTCGCCAATGTACTGCTCCTCTCGAGGTGCTCCTCCTTCCAGTGGTAATTCAGATATATACCGTCGCAATTCAAGAAAAAGTCTCTGAGACGAGAAGAAAGAAACTTTATTAGGGCTTATCGTAACTTACCTGAAACACGACAAAGTGTAACACGGTGTTGAGGTGAACAAAGATAAATTACTTATTCTGCTCGTTGAGCTCATCCTGCCACTGCAAAGCGCCACTTCTGACCAAGGAATCGTACCAGATCACTTCCGAGTTCTCGATCTCCTTGTGAAGGGTATCGGTCAGGTACTTGACGAAATAAAGCACCTTATCCACCGCGTGATATACCGATTCCGGCAGCTGAAGTTCGCTGCTCGTGAAGTTGGTCTCAAAGTTCAACAGCCAACCGTCAAATCCGTATCGCTTTGTCAGATCCACCAGGGCGTCCGCGAATGTCTTCGCGTTCTCGTACGACGCGACAACATTCTGAAAAAACGCGTACACAGACGCGTCCCCCTCTGTAATTATGGTACCTAGTATTTTCACACCGTGCTTGTGGGCTGTGCATATCCATCCATAGGGTGGGACGGTTATGAAGTGATGACTGAAGTAAACGAATGTATCTATCGCATACCAGTTGTAAAACAAGTAAGAATCATGAGAAGTGGAGCCCCAGAAGAATCTGCAGGAGAAAAATAAGACGGAGAGATAATATGCAAGAGATTTAACTCGGACATATTTACTTTAGTTCATATATCAGACCATAAAAATGTAATGTGTGTGTGTGTATGTTTGAATATTACCTGTCTTCCAGATAACCACCTTTCATATCGTGGCAGACCAATGTCTTAGGACGTTTCTCCTTGTCCATTCTTTTCAAATAAATGTCCTTCCTGACAATTTCTGACCCTTGGTATGTGAAGTCTACAGATTCTACAATATCTGTCTCCGGGTATGGTTCTAATGTACCCAAGACTTCGTATAAATCAAACATCGTATCGAAAGGTTTTGATTCTCTTGGCTTATCCAGTTCATCGCTTAATATCAAGTCACTCGTATTCTCTTCAGTTTCTAACATATTTGATTCATCGCTAACTACTTCGCTTTCGCTTTCATTCTGTTGAATTTTTAACTTATTCAGTCCATCGCTTATCATTTTGCTTTCACTTTGCTTAGACTTTACTTTGTCTGCACTAACGTTTACCATCCTCTTTCTTTCAATCTCTTCGGTTTCTGATAAATTGCTCTTATCCATGTTGTACTGCTGGCTCTCGGTAATGCACTGACAACAATGATTACTCTTTCATAAGTGTCGCCGGAAGAGCATGCACAATATGATAATCAATTAAAAAGAAGGAAATAGTTTACAGTTCTGATAGCCATGTATTTTCACGGTATCAACGTATAGATTACCTAATCTCCTGATATCGTTATCAGCTCACAGTTATCGTGTAGGTTGACGAATAACAGCAGATAAAGCAGAAATTGGTGTCAAAGCACTGCGACTGTTGTCACTTGAGGAATATCCATTGTTCACAGGACAAAGGATTCTCTGTTGACAAACATCATATTCGAACTGGATAGATGTAAATACACGTAAACGAATTTCACAAATTGCGAGAGAATCCGCAAATATGAAAAATCACGTCAATAATAACGCCATGATATCACAGAGTCTCGATTTCGGCAAAATTTCATGAATATAAAATATCACATACGCATATTTTAAAAAGCGGTCTTTCGTTATTCACAGTCAAAGCAAAAGAAACGTTTGCTCTTTACAACATAACTGCACTAGTTACACTCTTAATCTGCACTTGAAATGGAGTGGGTATACGCATGACGGCTGGATGAAAGAGAGAAGAAAACAGAAAGTGCAGTTGTAAAAAAAAAAACAGACACAATGTGACAAAGTTCACAGTGATCGACATGTTTTTTTAGCTGCACTGCTGACTGCGATAAGTGAGAGTTAGAGTGAAACAAGTATATTTTGTCTCGCTCTAATTTATAGCACCAGTACAGCAGTGCAGCTAAAAAGAACAGACCGTTAACCTTTAATTCGGAATCGCGCCAATCATGTTTGAATGCATCGTCGAATTCTGCGATTACACAGTTCAAGGTAGTTCCTTAATTACCGCTTGATAATCGCACTCATTTGCAAATATAAATATTGCGAACTGTGCGCATATTTTAATCTTAATCTGGACTGAAAGGATATGCATGCTAACAGGTTGTCGTTCGGATTATGAACTTGGAGAGGAAAATTATTTTCTCGTTGAATAATCCTTGCACAGTCTTGAGACAGCAAATTTACGTTTCTCGCTCAACGCAAAATGTAAGAATAATGTAAAATTTAAAAACACTAATAAAAAGAGCTATAAAAAGAGCTCATGCAAGATATAAGCTTTTTCTGCATAAAACGAAAAGATCCAAGCCCTATGGGCGTCTAAAATTAATTAAAAAACAGTTTCTATTTCCTACTAGTTGTGTCATTTTCATCAATTTTTTTAAGAATTAAGCTTGTCAATAAATATCCTTAAAGAGGAGAAAGTGGACCATGCTCGACTTTTTGAACGATTATAAAGAATCTCAGTGCTACTTACAATTTTTAAATCATGTATCCAATTTTCATCCTCACTTTTCTTGAGACGTGCCCCATTCATCGGATCTTTCTTGTATAACAATATCCAATTGTTATATATAAATATACACACATAATCATCGATATAAGAAATAAAAGGACAAGTATCGTGCAAAGACGGTGCTGAGGTGTACGGACAGCCATACAAATCGTGAGATCCTTCTTTATTAGGAGTACAACTCTTTTGTGAAGACATGTAATCCCAGGAATACAATATAGACACAATTGCGCGTGGAGATGACTGGAAGACGTACGAGATCATTATTTAGGTGTGAACGAAAGCAATAACGGATGATCCGCTCATTTCCATCGAGATGGTCCCGTTGATGATGCGCCACCTTCAACCTCTTACAACGAATTCTCTAAAAAATCTTACAAGTCCGCTAAGGGGGAAGGGGGTGTGCTCTACTCATGGTCGACTCGACGAATATGGATTGTCCGTAATTGGTGCTGGGATGTGATGGTGGTGTTCTACTAACTAAATTCCGACAACTAATTCCTTGTAAAGAGGGGTATTCAAAAATATCACTTCCGTGAGACTCCGCGATATGTCGACGGCGCGATTTTTCGGTGTCGACCGCTTCTTCTTTCCGTTTCTCGCGACGTTAATCCAGCGTATATTTGTCGATATATAACTTGCTTCGTATAGAAACCGCGCGCTAATCGAAAGAACAAGTAGACGAAGGAACTGATATGTGACGTTTCCAATGCTCTCCGCGAGAGACGGGCAAATAAGAGGCCCACTCTTGCGCTCTATCCTTAGCTATTAATTTTGATTCTCGCAAGGAACGACCGAGAATATGGCAGAAATCGCTCAGGAATCATGACTAAAGTCAGAAAACGTTTGAAATCAATTCCCGAATAAAACGAGTGTGCAGCTCTTCGCGAGAGTCCCTTCCGATCCACTCCGATTCGTCTACCGTGTTCACGGAGGGAAGGGGGAGAGGGAGGGAGGGGAGAGAGATTCAGAATCACCGATTTTTCAAGTCAAATTGCTACGAGAGAAAGAAACAGCACAGGTCGAAATCTAATTCTTCACCGGGAATAACTGATCTGTCGCGAACACGATATCCCTATTCTGTCCTCCACGTTTGTATCGAAATGAGTAGCGGTGCCGAACGTTCCGTCAGCCCTGGCAAAAAGATCAAACTCGCCCCGACCTAAAGTTGTAAATCTTTAGACAAAGTTACCCATCGGGATGTATATATCACATTGGAGACTACCTATCTACGCAACTATCTATAAACAATCGATTTCTCGTCGTCGTCCGTACCGTAAAAGTGCGCTACTACGTACTACTACAGTCTCGTCGACGTCACACTTTCTCGCACACAATGGTCGTGGTTCCCTACCCACAAACGGGGAAACGCTAAACTTATCTCGATACACCACTACCTCGTGTCGGAGAATAATTTTTCTCTCTTCTTTTTTTCTCCCGATATGATAAAATACTCTGGAAATACGATTCTTCATCTGTTTAACAAAGTCGCTTATAAATCACCGCGTCGCTGTCGCCTATACGATTACAAAAGTGATGCCCGGACGTTCGCGCGACCGCGAGTCCGCAGGAAGTACACACGATCTCCGAGACGCTAAGGGAGAATTTACAAAAAACCGAACGCAAGGTATGTGTGTGTGTGTGTGTGTATATATATGTGGGTCCGTCTGCGCGCGCGCGCGTGTGTGTGTGGCTATAAAAGTAAACGTGTGTATGTGGTTGGTTCTCATCTATATAAAACTGTGGTTTCCTTCAACTACTTCTAATTTCACCTGGTCGTACGTGGGTTACATGCAACGTTTTACCTCTCAATACTTGGTTCCTCGGGTGTCCTATATAATACTTTTTATGTGTTGTGTATAATATATATGTATAATATTATATATATATATTGATATATATGTAGTATTGTGCATTTCGATTCGGATACGTCGGGGGATTCGTTCGATTTCTGACGCGCGACCGTTGCACCTCGACTCTGTAAATTCGTCGCGCATTAAGTGCACACGCAGTCGCGTTCGCCGAGTATCTGTCGTTAAAGGTTTTACATGAAACACGAGGTTCGCATAAAACAGGGGATTTCGACGGGGCACTGTTCACGCTCGGAGCTTAAGCCGCGACGAAAATACGGGTCACAGTATGATCGGTGTGTAACACATCCTCGTCGTTAAATACCTATTCGTATATGAGGGGAAGTCACATAGTTGTAAATCCGGCGCGAGTATTTCTATCGCTATCGCAATCCCTCTTGCGTATCGGGTCATCTACTGTCACTAAGGGGTTTCTCGATACTCGTTGGCGTTATTCGATCGTACATAAGTGTATAAGGGTATATAACGTGGCTATATATAATCGCACAGCTTGCGTATTTAACCCTTTTCGGACCTGGGGGCTTCCACTTGAGGGAAGAATGATGAAAGGCCTTTCGTGATCCTTCCTTAATTGGAGATCACTGAGCCTTGTTTATCATTTCTTTTATTTCCACTTGAAATCGCGAACTTTTAGCTTTTAAGCTTTCTTAGCGCAGCGCTTTTATGGTTGCGTCTTTGTTGTAAACTCACGCGGATCTATGAAGCGCACATAGGCGTAGTTCCTTGATTTTGCAAAAAAAAAATAATAATAATATAGCGCTCTAATATCTTTTTTTGTTCAAAGTTCAATGACCACTATGTAATAAACAAACTGCACAGTGCCGCGGAGAATTTTACTCGACGGGAAGAGGAAAATAAATGCGGTCCGAAGAGGATTGAACGCGCGAGACGAGTTGAATTATACGATCGTGACTAGGACACGAGTATGGATCGACTAGGATATGACAGAGATATGACGAAGAGTATTATCGAGTCTCACGGGACCAATTGTCGTCCCGCGATAACGGCTAATATAATAACGACTAAGCTCAGTAATATCGTTTCTCGCCGCAAGTATCGGCCAGTCGCAAGTGAGGCCGATTTACGTACTTTGCGCGCGATCAATTAATTCGTAGATCATAGGCCGACGTCTACAAAAACATTTTTCTCGTCGAGTCTGCGCGGATGAATATATTCCTCCGGCAGCTGCACGATACACGTCTACGCCTCCGGTAAATCGCTAGAAAACTACGAGACGTATCTACGGGATCGAAACAACCGAACAAGGTGGGAGTTATATATCGGGGAGCAATCTCGCGCGGTATTTACACAGAAGGACGTCGGAGTCCGTTCCTCTAAAAATCGCGAATACAGGCGAGCGAATATTGTTAAATCATCGACGCTCTCTAGGCGGAGGAAATAAATAACAACCGACTAACGTACTCGAGAAAACTACCAACGAGGCCGTCTGCGTAAAAAGAAAGAAAGAAAAAAAAAACATCCGGCCGAACCGGCTTCTCGTTCTCACTCGTTCGAACGGGACGGTCGTCTCAAGGAGACGCTGGTCGCACCATCGTTCACCAGAACGATCGTGTCACGTAAGGATTTCATAGAAAAAGATGTACGCTAGGCGTTCTACGCCGGGACTATGCCTTCGACGCCGTTTTGATTGAGTACGTCCACGACGTGAGAGACGAGAGACTGAAGGCACGTCCACGACCGAGGGAGAAAGGGAGGAAGGAAGAAGAAGGGAGAGGGCGATTCTTCCCTGCGTTAAAAAAAGAGGAAAAAAGGAGCGTAACCTTCGCCTAACAACAGAAAACGCCGAGCGTAAATTCCACAAGTATACGACATCATACTTAAATCACTTGGTAATTCAAATATGAGGGATTACACAAGGTAAACGTTGTATGTATAAGTTGTATAGAGAGAGACTTTGTGAATTAGATGGCTCTCAACAGGACGTATCAAATCGTTCGCCAATAATAATCACCGGATTATGGCCGGTATTCACAGTCCTTCGTGGATTCGTTCCCGAGACGTTTCGTGAATATCTCACTTCTTCAGGCAAACGTACGACCCGACGCTCTCGTCGGACGTTATATTTAAAACCATCTCAGGTTCCCATCTTCAGCTCGTAGCCAATGAAGACGAACTTGAGACGACCTTAAATATAAGATCTGACTATAAACACCGTCCTGTAACTCCTGATCTACTCTCTTCTCTTTTCCTTCGCCCGCCCGGCTCACCGAGCATCCGGCGCTCTTCGCAGCGTAGACGCGCGTCCTCCTTCTTGTGCCGAGAATCAATTTTATCTACCGTCCTTTAAACCGTCTTCGAGAGCCCATCTAATTAAACGACCGTCTCTTATTGGCCGGCTTACGCCGACGTTAACGATATCGCGACAACGGTGGTCGAAAGGCGAAGCGAGTTGCACGCGCGATGCTCATCGTTATCCGATACTCTAGAAACTCTCGTCGATGCCCCGATCCCGCGCCAGGTTGAAAACTTCGAAGTCGCCGTCCGGAGCCTCCGGTATGTCCGGTGCGAGCAATATCTCGGGCCGCAGCGCGACGCAGTCCCTCGGCGAGCATTCGACGCGCCCTTCGGAACCGCAGCTGCACTCCACGCAGTTCCCGGTCGAATGCGGCAGAGTCTCACCCTGTCGATACTCCTTCCCTGTAATTCAAGTCTCACGAATACGGATTTCGCATGGCGGAGTGTGTGCGTCGCTTACGTATATAGTACGCGAGCATGTATATAAGGCGCGTGTAAGAGCGAATATTCCGAACGACGTGACGTAGAAAATAAATTTTACGGGAACAAAATAGTGGCGCGTGTCCCATAGATAAACGACGACAGTAAATCGATAAATTATGCGAAATAGTTAAGTGACGCGATGAAACTTTATCGTTTGCGAAGGACGACGAAAATTAACCGGGAGCGATGTGAAACGCTCCAAATCTCTAAATGCGTCGGAATCGCGCGACTCTCACCCGAAGATAATTCGCTACACGCGAGAGAGAAATGCGGCTATTATCGAGCGCGCCGTGCGAAAATGTCAGGGGGATAAAATGTATTAGAGACGGGATAAAGGAGAAATTAAATATACCCATCACAAGGCAAGTGGTCGGTGCGGAAGGTGTCGCGGTCGTCGAAGTCGCGTTAATTTCCACGTGGCCTTGCTGGCCGGCCGGTGAGTCCGCTACAGGATCCCCGGATGCTTCGAAGCCGTCCGCAATGTCCGTGCTGGCTTCCAGCGACGGTGTGTAATTGCTCTCCACCGTGGTCGATTGCAGGGAAGACGAGCCGAGCGACGGGGCGGTGCTCGGATTATAATTCTGCCACCAACAATAAACTTCGCCGGCGACGCACAGGCAATGCGAATTCGTATCGTAAGATGGTATCTGGAGAGGAAACAAGGGATAAAATAGTAATGAGACAAAGTTCATGCATGTACAACCGATTTTTGAATTTTCTCACGACGACAAAGATTTAATTTAATTTATTATTAACAAATTAATACAAATATGTGATATAAGAAAAATTGCACGACAGAATTTTTTATTTTACGGTGCGCGTGTAAATTATCAGTGAAGTTTTTTTTGAAAAATTCTGGATTAGACACGTTGAAGAGATGAAACAATATTCATAATACGCTCATCCCGATGCAAGACAAACCCCGACGAGAAATGCGACCTCTTTGCACGACACTCGTGTTATAAGCTACTAACTCGGGTTACTAATTAGATAGAGGCGCTGGTTACTAATTAGACGAACGATATACGCTGCAGGACGCAATATACATGTACGGGAAACGGTTACATGCATCAATCGTGTGTAATTGATTTGGAGAGGATAAATCGACGAATTAACGAGATGAGAATATGGAAGGAATGCGAAGAAACTCTGTCACGAGATGGCGAATCGCAGTGATGTCGACGATACGAAAAGAATCTAGAAATTGCGAAACGCGGAGATCTCGATTTACAGGATTTAGTGGATTTTCCGAGGAAGAAAATAAAGAGAGAGAGAGATAGAGATGAAGAGAGAAATAAAGAAAAAAAAAAGAGCGAGAGGGAAAAAGAGATAAAGGTATCACTCGCGTCGGTTTTCAACTGCAAGTACAATTGAAACGGTTCCCAGTTACACGCTGTAAGCACCAATTTGCCAGACGTGTCTGTTAGCAGCGCACGTTGAAAATAGTGACATGCGTTTATTGCGAGTAGAGTGTTCCACGTAAAATGCTAAAACCGGCGCGGTTCACTTCAACGATAATCCCTATATCCGAAATTTCCGAAGGTGTGCTACTTTCTGCGCTCTCTCTCTCTCTCTCTCTCTCTCTCTCTCTAACAAGATATTTCCGAAAAATAATGTCACGCTCGCGTTTCATCGTCTTTGAATCCAAGTTGAATTTGGTCCTATTAAACCTTTAATTCTACAACACAGTAGAAGTTTAGATAGTAAAATGAATATAAGAGGTAGCATTAAAATGAAATCTATGGAATTAAAGATTCGAAAGAGAAGTTAATAAGCATCAGTATCGTCAAAGTAGATTTTTATTAATCCATAGACCATCTAAGTAGGTGCAAATTATGCTTAAAAGCATCAAAGTAGCATCAAAATTCCGACTCAAGAAGATATTCTTTCGTAAATTTAACACAAGATACAAACTTCATTTTATTCGATGCTCCGTCAAATTAACAATATTTCTTATCGATTTCCGCGAAGGATCGAGAAATAAAGACTCCGGCATTCTTCTGCAGAATCCTTTGATTGTCCGTCGAAGGTACTCGAAATGAGTTTTTCCCAGTTAGGAGCCTCTCTTTCTATCTTTCTCTCCCTCTCTTTTTCAATACATCCTATCGGTGGTTACCGTTTGGCTGTGAGAATAGGCGTTCCCATCTACGATGCACTTTTTGGGAAACGGCTCCTCCGTCGTGACGTCGCCGTCGCTGTCGTCTCGAAGTGTAATATCGACTTCGCCTAGGAGAACCTGACTCGTCGCTCTCGCTGGTGCTGCAATCAAAATCGAAGGTGGGGGGTCATCAACGGCTGAAAAGACCAAATGAACGTCTCCTCCCTCCCTCTCTCTCTCTCTCTCTCTATCGTAAAATCGTCACCCAGAAATCGAAAAATGATCACGCATTATCTTCAATCTTCGACGCCGATTTCGTCGACGTCATTCGACTTCAATTCTCGATCTAGCACGAATCAATGTTGTTTCTCTACTTCTCGTTTTTTTAAATCCAACTTTGAATATTGAGATTCAATATCGGTCTATCACGTATAGCGCGACGTTTAAATCAATTAATATTTTCCTGATGAGGGCTTGCCGACGATAAAAAACGTAATTAACCGTAATTAGATTAGCCGGTGCATGAATCAATGAAGTAAATCCTCGCTTGTTTCTCCAGCTCGGCCGTGTCGCGAATTAATGTCCCGAGTGAGATGCACGAGTCGCAATTTCCGAGCGCGAACTCTTTCCCTGCCTTTCGAGAGGTTGTCCTCGAATTCTCTCGAGGAAACTACCGAGACAAGCGAGCGATCGCGAAGACGACGGTCATCAGAAGCGAGGAAACGCGCGTCGCACTAAAGCCCCGTCTATACAGCTCGCAGAACGCAAGATGCAGTCGTAAACGCAGATGCGAGATGACGATCAGCAGATGCAAAGAGCTGCTCGTCATCTTGTGTCTGTGTTTGCGAACAGCGTCTTGCGTTCGGCGAACTACGGGGCTTAAGAGGATTTCGGAGTTGTCCTGTTTTGCCGCAAATTTGTTAGTATTATAGTCGTTATTGGTTGCACAGAATTAAAAATCCTTTTGCACAGTTACAAAACACACGTTAATATAAGCGAGGACAGTTGACTTCGTTCGAAAAATGAAAAAAAGTTACACAATTTGTTATCCCTTTTTCGCCTTACGAACAAAGTCGACCTTCCTCGTCTACATTAACGTGTGCGTCGCAATTGTGCAGCAGGATTTTTAATTCTGTGCAGCCGGTGCAACGAACACAGTACTAGCAAATTTGCGGTAACACAAGCGGTAAGACGACTGCGGGATCCTCTTACGCGGAGAGAGTCGCACACGCGAAATCTCGCGCGCGCGTCTCTCTCCCTTCGGAAAAAAATATTCCTCGAGAATGAACTTTTACCGCGAGAGTCCAGAGAGCGAATCTTTCTCTCCTCGCTTTTTCCCTCGACCAAGTTTCTCGCTCTCGACGGCGGGTCATAAAGCTCCGTTAATAAAGCGAGATCGAGCGAGCGAGCGAGCGAGCGAGCTCTTTCTCTCTTTCTCCCTCCGTGGCCGAACGCAAATTACCTCGCCGAGCGGAATCCGAGTTAATCGCTCGATAAATTACGCTACTCGGACGTAAGAATGCGGCGGCGGCGGCCACTTCTCATCGAAATATTGACCTTTCAAAGGCCAACTTATCCGCCGACTTAACGAGTGGGAGCATTAATCAGCCGTCTTTGCTAACACGCCGCTCTCTCCCTCGGCGAGGGCGAAAGAGGAGCGCGTTCCGCCTCCTTGAAAGCTTTCAAGGAAATCGAAGCGCGAGGGGCTGCGGTATCACAATGGCGTAAAATAGAATGAGGCGCCGCGGACGACCCTTTTACCCGAGCCTTTTCCACGCCTCTCCCTCTTCCATCCTCTCTCACCCTGTGCCACGTCGCGACTTCATATTTATTCAAATACCGAACTCGCGAGTTCCAAGATGCTCGGGCGAACATCGCGAGAACAGCCGCGCCGCGACGCAGGGTTTACTCCGTAATACGCCGTTGCGCTTCTTTTTCCCTCTCTCTCGTCCTTCGACCTGCGCCGCGTGCGAAATTACGCGATCTACCGTAAAATCGCAATAGTGCTCCGTTCGTGAAATTATTAAAGTGATTATCCAAACTGCCGATGAAAATGACCATTTACTTTACGATTAATTGAGCTGCCGACTAAAATTTTTTAAATAAACTTATTAATTAACATTTAAAGTCTTTATGAAATTATTATCAATTACAATTTATGAACTACATTATAAATTATATGAAGTGCATGATTGTATTATATATTATATAAATATTAACCATGATGGTCACGCGGATGACAAGTGTCCTCCATTTTCAATTTGATATTTTTAACGAAAAAGTTGCTTTAGAAAGTAATGATATTTATATGGAAGTAGCAGCCATAAAAAGTTTTATTTGAAACGGACGAGAGTAGTCCTTCCGATAGACGCGTGCACCTGTAAGGTACCGCCTGAATTTATTTTAGTACAGCATGGAGCAGAAGTTAGAGCGCTGTATCTTCTTACTTTTCTATCTCTTTTGTTTCTGTAAAACAGTGCACGCTCACCTTCTGCAGCATCAACATCAGAGCTATGAGACAAAATACATCTGACAGGTACACTGTGACAATCGGTGTATTTCTAATGTTGCTACTTGGCACAGAATTCTCTGCGAAAGACCCAAAGAGCTGATAAAAGCAGAAGTGAATTCTACTTCTGTGACGAATACATGAGAAAACGTCACCAAAAACAGCAAGAAAAGAAAGCTGCGTCAACCATGTCAAAAGCAAATGAAATGAGAAAAAGACACGCGTCTATCAGAAGATTAACTGACAAATACGAGGAGGCGCAAGATAGATCCTCGTACGAATATTTTCGGAAAATGTATTTTAATACGCATTAATGACACCTGTCATTCGCTCGACCACTGAAGGGTTAATAAACCCTATTAAACTCATTAATTAAACCCGCGGCACAAAAATGCAGCTCGCGGAATTATTGAAATAATTATCTAGGAAATTTATCATGGAACGCGAAATGAAGTCACCAAAGCGGCGGTGCACCTGCATAAGGCTGCTGCGGTGGCGACTTGATAACGCGGAATATAATGCACCGGCGGCATGCAGTTTGTAGAATGTAGAAGGTAGACGGCCGAAAGCTGCGGTGGCGCTTGGTAGCGTGCCAAATTTCGAGCGTATCTCATTTCTTGCCAACAAGCAAGTCGTCGGCCGCTTATCACGAGACGCTTTTACTTCACGCCGAGTCAGGCCCGATTTCGTGATCTCGCCACCCACCCCCGACTCACCACCCCCTGTAATCCGTTCGCCTTTGAAGTGGAATTAGCGAAATTTTTCAACCCGGAGCGAAAGCCCGACGAGGCGCGGCGGGTCTATCTTTTAACGAGACTCGAAACTCGACTCTCGCCAACGATCAGGGGGGGAGGGGGGGGGATACGTAATAACCGCCGTGAATTCGCCGAGCCTCGCGCACGCTCGCTTCCTTTTTCCTCCGGTCTTGTTTTTCCAATTTCCTTTTTTGCGTTATTTATTCAGCGTCGCTCGATTTTCGCTCGCTCGCTCGAGCCGATGTACACGCGCCGGCGTTCAAATATGAAAGTTACATGTCCGTTATCACGAATATTGCACGAGCCGCACGATGCCGGGAATAAATGGCATTATCGCCGGTACGCGCGACTGTGTGTGCCAATCACAAGTATCGATCACCGGACAGATCCGTCAATCTCGCAGACGTCCGCGTAGCGCACAGCTGGCTATAGTCGCCGGCTCGCTCGCGCGCGAGACTACGTACCTAATCATTACAGAGGGTGTACGGGGTGTCTGGTAAAGCGCGACGCAAGCTCCCGGGCGAATCCTCCGGCGATCCGCATCCGGTACAGAAAGCAAGGAAAAGGGAAAAAGAGAAACGAGGGGGAGCGACATGGAACGGGGAGATTCCTGAAATTTGTACGATTGATTGAGAAAATTCGTCTCCCTCTTTCTCTCTCACGAGCGCGCATTTCGCCCGGAATTTTTTCACCGAGGAATCGCCGCTAGCAGCCGGTCACGATCCAGCAAGCAACTCTGTACGTGTACATACACACGTGTGCACACAGATATACGCACATATGCGTCGCACGATGTGGTCAATATCGAGAGAGAGAGAGAAAGAGAGAGAGAGGGAGAGAGAGAGAGAGAGAGAGAGAGACGCCGATCGCGTTCGCGTGTGTCACACAGAATCGCTTCTAGTTTAATTGGCCGCAATCGGTTTACCGAAACACCGTGGCGCGCCCCTTCGCGCGGGATACACTGTGCTAATTACCAACGAATGCTAATTATGAAGGATTATTCCAATTTCGTCGCGCGGCCCGCGCTGTTAAAGCGCGAACAAATTCTACGCACGCGGCCATGCGTGCGTGCATGCGTGCGTTATGCTATGCTAAACGTCCGTTTTCTCGCGAAGATACGAAAAAAGTGAGCGAAAAATCAAATAGATATGAGGATCGGTTCGGCGAATAACGCGGCGAACATTGGCGCGAATTCATTCGCGCGGAAGTATTTTAATTGCTTCGTCCTTGAATCACTTGCGCTAACTAGACACGTGAAATCGAATATATCTCACAGTGCGTGTAAATATAAATGTATACAGATAAATTGGATTTATAGAGGCGAGGGGTAGTTGATACACTGGGGGAGAGTTTGGTCAGAGTTATTTTCTTTCTAACAGTTGGTAGTACATTTTTTAAACACAACTGATGTGTCCCTCGGTGACATGTACGGAAACTTAGTTTACCAAGTTGTAAAGATTATAATTTCAAGTCAAGATTGAAATGAAGCAAATGAAGAAAAAATTGTATAATATATAATTTATACAATTTATCTCATTATTATTAAAAATTTAGTTTTAATTTTTTATTTGTTTCGCTTATTTTTCGCTTATAGAACACATATGTTGTTTAGAACATATATACAAATGACACTGACGAATGTTATTGTAATAAGAGTTATTATATGTAAATGATAATACATTAATAAATATAGCTTTAATAAGTAACATTAATAAATGTTACAATTTAAAATAACAAATGCATTAGTAAACATAGTTATTTCTGTTACTTTGTCCAATTCTTCCTAACGTCTGTCCCATTTTTTCCTATTTTAGTAGGGAGAGTTGGGTTAAACATTCGACTTGACAATATTTATTTAATTACATTCTTAATTATTAAGATAATTCGTTCAAACTTT